TACCGATGACTTGACAACGTCGCGTCGCGTCGGTTCAGTTTGTCTGATCTATGGCGACGGTTACTACGTTATGATATTAAATCAACAATTTTCATTCTGCATTCATTTCATTTGTATTTTCGCCACAAACGGTGTACATTTTAAGTATTTAATAAATTTTTGTTTTGGTTGTTTTCTACAGCATAATGATGTCGACGTAAGTACTATTAGTCCAAATTTTATATAAGGTTAAAAATAACGCTAGCGGTTGAAATATTCCATTGGTCGGTGAAGCGTTTTTTTTAACTTACAATTTCACTTCATCCAGGTTTTCCCCTACTAAAACTATAAAATAAACTAAATATTTTACAATTTAACTGTTTCACGTTACTTCGCGAAAATGGTTTTTCGAAATATTTTATTTATGCGCTGTTAATATTAAGTCTCAACTTGTAATAATTGTTGTTAGCGTATATTAACTGTTGACAGAAAACCAAAATTAAATTTTTAAATGTTTCTCTAAGAACATAACGTTATTACAATAATGTATTTTCATTTGTCTATTAAATGGTCAGGGTCTAAGATATCTTATAAACCGCCGAACCGACTTATTTACGTAGCAATAAAGATACTTAAATGCGGGCCAAAAATTTAAAAAGTTCACCCCTTTCCCTTCACAATGAAGAAAAACACCCAAAAAATGTACATGTTTTTAATATTAATTTATAGCTAGATTTTCTTTTTTTTTCTTTTAATAGCCGAATCGGATCGTAATTTATATGGACTATTCATTAGTTAAAGTACTACCGATATGCTTAGGAACACCAAAACCATATAAAAAAATCCTATTCTCCAGAAGAGATGATTTAGGTCCTAATCTTATACATTTTTATATAATATAAAAATAATAATAATAGCTTATACAAGAATAATATATATTAATATTAGCGACGAGGGGAACCATTTTTTTTTTTTGCTGGCTGCTATTTCCCACGTTGCTAAGTAGTAGAAATTTTTTAATATTTTATTATAAAGTCAGTTTTTTTAACGTTCAATTTGCGGATAGCAGTATTTAATATTACATTAAGTTGTTTTTATTCTTTACAGATTTAAAAAAAAAAAAAAAGGAAATTTGAAGGCTTGATGGTAGCTGATACACATGTAAGTATAGGTAAGTGTTTTGCTAAAGGTTAATTTGTAGGTATAATACCTAATTTTAAGAACACATCATAGGGGAGGGGCGGACGGATAACTAAAATCTCAAAAACAATTACAAAATTACAACCGCCCCCTCCCCCCCAAAGATATTCCACTTGCGAGCGATATTTTAGATATGCCGAGACAAGTGTGGTTACATTTTACAAAAATTAAACTAATATGTCATTTTTATTTTACTAAACCTTATACTACTTACAGTTGGTATTGGTATGGTTACTAAACACACCAACCAGACTAACAAAGATTAAAATTAAAATATGCAGAATAAAAATCACATTCTGGTTAAAATTTGAACACGAATAATCAACGAAAATATAATAATAGCCGCGGTCTGTATGCGATGATTGTCTACACTAAAAAATGACATCACAATACGCGCTGAATAATGAAAAAAAAAGCGAGCTGTACTCGATGAAAGTAAATCAAAAAAATATGATTACATCACGGTACGCGCTTGAAAAAAATTAATTATGAAAGCTATATACCAGTGCTAATATTTACCGTTAACAGTTTTCGCAATTTAAAAGTTAAAACAATAATTACTTACTACTAAATAAAACAATATAAATAATAATAACTCCAAATAAAGAATAATTAACATAAAAAGAAAAAAAAAATTACGCTTATCGTCCATAATCCGCATAGAAAATAGCGAAGCTGAACTATCAAAATGTCTGAAGCATTCGACCCCAGATTAAGTCGTCGTTCTAAGAAACCTATCAATGTGTAGTTTTAACAGTAAGAAGAATAAAATGGATTCACAAGGACTTTGATTACTTAAGCGTTTAGGCCTAACTAATCAAAGTCTACAGAGATGATAATTGTAACACTTTGTGTTATTATAAAGGTTCAGCAACTTAAAAGTTCTAAAAACGAGACGGTGTACAAATCCGATAATAGGATTAATCTACTTTAGAATTAATCTACGAGTATTATAATTTACCCTTCTGGTTTATGATGTGAGTACCTAAGAAACTATTTATTATATAAAGGTTAATGGCTCTTAACAGCTTTATTAAATAAATTCGATAAATTGTAACTTTTAATAAAAGTTAATATTGGCAACTTTTTTAGAATTACTACTAGTATAAGGTGCAGGTCGAAAGGCATATTGCTAACCTTATGTTTTTTATTTAGTATGAGCCTAACCACTTACTTAGCTCATATGGCATACATTTGTGTTTAATCCAACCAGCCCAACCCGTCCCTATGACTTTCTCGTTTTTCCTTATAAACTAGTCTAAAATTTGTCTCAAAAATGTGTACAATTTACGTACTACATGTACATATTGGTATTGAAATAATATTTTTCATCGGTATGTGTAGTGAGGGCTGGTGAAATACAGAGAATAGCTAACACGGAGAAACTCCTATAAACGAGAGTCGGAAATATTTCCGTGAAAAATTCATATTCAGATAATATCGGACACCATTACTTAAGTAAACTGACAAAAATTTAAAAACTGTGTATTTGTCGATTTGTTGGCTGCATTTCTTTTACACTATCACGTTGATACGTAGGTAGATTCAAGATGTAATAGCTATCTAAAGTAACAGTTTGTTCAATATTTTCTCATTAACAATGGGATTCCAATCAAATGGCAGTAATTTTTTATTCTCTTAAGTCTATTTTATTCCCGACTCTTCTAAATCCACTGCTCGTACCTCCGTCTTCTCCGTTTCCAGTGGCATTATCCGGACCAGGGGCCTGATTGAAAATTTTGGATACAGTGAATTCATTTGCCGCCCTTTGTGGGGGGAGTCACACCCGACTGCCGTTCCTTGAGGTCCGACCCCTCCCGTTCGGGGGCCATTGCCTGTGTGCATAAGCGCCGGCGCCTAGTAAAACCGCACCACCAATTAAACACACACATTTCTACATCGTTCTTCGTCACTGTCGTCTTCCCGTTTGAATAATACAAGTTCCAGTGTCTTGATAACAATACTGGCGTGTAAAAATTACTATATGTATTAACATTTAAAATCAACATTCACCTTAACTACATATTATATTAAATACCTAATTGACCGCCATGTCTTTCCATTCGTCGGATCGGACTGGCGAAAGAAAAACAATTATATTTTACCTGACAAGTTTTTTAATAATTTTTTAATTATTTTCATAATTTTCGTGGATTGATATATCAATTGAGTAAGTTTCGGATATATCCACGTCGAATGTTTTATGCCGACGTTTCGGACTCTTTGCAGAGTCCACCTTCAGGGCAACAGTGGTCTCGACTATTCAATTGCCGTGATTTCTACCAATTTTCCTTTCAGCCGTTTTTCTGTCCTCGCCATTGTTGAGTCGAAATCGCTCTAATTCCATTTCAACTGCAATATCTATATTTTGCTGTTTTTCTATGATTTTGTTTCGTAATCTTTAAATTTACAAGTTTTATAACATTAAAAAGATGCACAAAGAAAGTTTATCGATCGGCTGAATGTTAATTTCTTGAAACATTTCATCTCGATCAAAATTTAAACTAATGAAAAAATGAAATAATGAAATAATAAAATTTCCTGCGAGTAAAAAAGAAGCTTCAAAATTTACATCTTATAAAAAAAGGAACCAAAGTAATTTATAGCACAACATTTTCTAGACAAAATAAACAAATATTTTACCCCGAATGATGTATTAGGTACAAGTAGGTTGCTTGAACTCATTATCATACGTTTTATTAGATAAAGGTCTTGCCTCTTTTTTAAGCCACAAAGAAATGATATTGAAAAAATAAATAAATGTTGTTTTCTCCATAAAATTCTTTAATTTACAAAAAAATTGTCTCCAGTTATCAGATGTTTTTTTTATGAAGGTTTTATTGATTCTTTACGCGAACGATTTGGCTTTTTTATAATCAAAATGTGTTTAAAAAATGTTACTAATCTTGACAGTGGATAAGTAATATTTAACTTCTGAGATCCAAAAAAAAAAACCCTGAAAGATTCCGAGAAGTCAAATTCACAAAATTAGTATTTTTTTTTAGATTACATACTTAGATGGTAATAGTTAGATGGTTACTCATCATATCAATCGGACTAGAATATAAAGAATAAATATGACACGAAAAATAAATTGTAAAATAAAAATGGTTCATTTGTTAATATATGAACACGAATAGTTAACGTCAATTTCTTATTATTATTTTGTTTTTAAAGTTGTTTCCAATTTTTGAGCAGCAAACTATTGAGCACAAGAGATTAGATATAATAATAATAATAAAATAATATTTATTATTTTACACAGCTAAACGTATCCGTTGGTGTTGTAGTAGGTGGCTAATCAACCTAAATTTATACAAAGAATACATTATTATAAAATTAATTTATAGGGTTTACCTACCACGCTCTGTACATTTAATTTGCTAATTAAGCATATTGTTTTATTTTCTATTTAGCACAAGAGTAGATATCAAACATGATACAGGTATACTTTCTTTTTGGATGCACTTGAAAGGCTTTCCTTTTATTTTATGATTAAAAATGTTAACAAACTGTTTGAAATGTATTGTATTTTTTCATATTATTTGGTTGGCCCTTTGAGCGCAATTTATTTGAAATAACTTAAAATTGAAACATAATACGTTACATATAACACATAGACAATTTTTCATAAATTTCTGTTGTGTATAACATATGATTATTACGATTAATATACTTTTTAAACGGATCAGTCTATGTTTTTATTTGCCTTTGGCGTTTACCACTACGCATATTACCTATGGAGCTTATATATTTTACATAATACTATTATATCTACATTTTACAACTTATACCTTTTGGAATAAACTTAAGACATAAAATACTACAATAACAATTGCAATTGTAATTTTGTTACTATTCACATAAATATATACATATACTGTCTTACATTACATATCATTACAATATACAATAAATAATTTTATACATAATTATTTTTTATTCCTATTTTGATTATACATACAACACTTAGCTCGCACGCCAGTCCATCATATACACACAGATACACAATCAATTATTTGGCAATTTAACATAACAAATAAAATAATTGTACATTAATACGATATTTATCAAATTATAACAGCTATTACGATGTGGTGTGCGAACGACCGTGCGAGAAATGATAGTAATAAAAAATATGACAAGAACTAATATAAATATAATATATTATTATCGCTATTAGCTGCTAAGGTACCTACTCGAACTAGGACCGTTAGGAATTCGAAACGTCGATTTGTACATAACATACAAGTCGATGTCACTAACATATTATTAATATTACTATCATAATAAACAGTTAAAAATATTATTAGGAGAGATAATTAGGTATCACAATTGCAGCGGATGAGGAAGCGGGAACGAGTCTTTTTCACGGTCAAACGTCGTTATTAATTGAGCGTTATCGTTTTTACTTTTCCCTTTTTATAATTATTAATTTATAATAATAAAAAAACCGACGGAGTTCGTCTATATTTTATAGGAAACGTTTCGCCACGCCGCGCCGTTTAAGTTGTTGTTTCTCGTTCCAATGACGTGAGAACTTAACGAAAATTAAATTTACAACTATGCCGTACAACCATACACGGTGTATTGTCTTAATTGGTGTAATACTGGACATGTAGCACCAGCCAAATGCAGACGTTTCGAACTCAACCCGTACTACTTATAGGCGTCGTCGACGTTCAAGCCAGGCAGGCCCCGAATGAGAAGAAATAAGTACAAAAAACGGTTGGTTTTGTCAAAACATGGACAACAGGTCGTTTAGTACAGAATATTAGACATTTCGTTGGCCACGATTGGCGTACTGGTGATGCTTGGAATAGTAAAACTGCAATTTAGGAAGAGATACAAGTCGCGGTTTTTGAACATCTTCGTTTCTGGTTGTGGTTGGCAGATTTGGGAGCTCCTTTCGAAAGCAACGTTGGGACAGGTCGTGGCAAAAGGTATCCAAATCTCGATGGACATCTTCGTTTGCAGAGAATATTAAGGATTCAATGGACTCGGAAGAAAGACGGATGGCTCTCGGTCGCGGTCTCTTGCAAAGGCCGTCAGACTGCCGGGAAAAAGCCCAGCGACGCCAACGTCTTGGACACCCTGGACACCAGGTCTTTCTTGTACCGCCATATGGTGGTGTCCATGACGCTGTTCTGCCGGAACTCGGTGCACGTCTTCTTCAGCGTCTTGACGCAGTCGGCCCGGTAATGCTGCAGCTGGGCGTCGGCCGTGTCTATGGCGAATGAAGTGCACCCTTGGCTGAGGCACGCCAACGGGAAGTGGTTGTGCAGGGTCAGGGCCCGCTCGGGGTTGTGGAAGCACTTGACGTACTGGTTGGGCTTGGTGTAGTTCTTGCTGCGGTACACGTGCTGCATCATGTGCATGTACCTGGGTATGGTCTTGAACCAGCCGTGCGTGTGGATGAGATCGTCGAGGAAGTACACGTTGCGCACGTTGTACGAGGCGCGGCTCTCGTTGCGCACGGACAACGCCTTGGGCAGCACCGTGTCCATCAGCTGCTTCCACGAAGTTCCCTTCAGCGGCATGATCACCTCGTCGATGTCCAGCAGCGCTATGTACTTGTACGTGTACAGGTTCCGGTACAGGCAGTCGTTGTACGGTATCAGCTCGTTCTGTCGCTTGTGGTTCACCTTTTTGGTCAGGTACAGGTGCTGGAACCCGGGCACGTTGGGCTGGCCGCCCGGCAACGTCAACGGGGTCACGTGCACCTTGCCGGCCGCCTCGTAGTGGCTGAGCACCTTGCTGATGTTCGGGTGCACCTGCAGCTGGTAGAAGAATATCTTGTCGGCGCCCAGCAGGTGCAGCAGCTCTATCCATTCGACCAGCCGGACGGACAAGTCCTCGTACAGAAAGTCCAAGCCCTTGACGCAAACGGCAAAGTCCTTCTTGACGGCCGGCCGGTCGTACACGACCCGCAGGTTGTTGGTGGCCTTGTCGCACACGTTCTCGGCCAGCGACACGGACGCCGGCACCAGGTGGTGATGCGACTTGGGTATCTGGCAGGCGATCAGGTACGGCTGGTAGATGCCCTGCTTGTAGTTGCCCCACTTCTTGTACCATATGTACTTGTACTCCATGATCTTGACGATCACCGGCTGCTTGAGCCCGTCGAACCACAGCTGGCAGTGGGTCTTCACAGTGGGCTCGATCCGGTTGATCATGCCCAGGATCCGGACGGCCGGCCCGATCTTGCTCAGCTTGCGCACGTCGTAGTACGCGCTGTACAGGTGAAACGACCCGTTGGACGTCTGCAACGTTTGCCAGTACACGTTGTTGAACTCCAGCTCGTAGATGCTGGGGAATTTGGCGCAGCTCTCGTTCTTGTAGTACATGTTCTTGTTCTTGTTCTGGTTCCAATACGTCACCGGCAGGTTGGGCAGGCGCTTTTGCACCTGGTCCATGATCAGCTGCTCCGACTGCACCGACACCTTGTCCACCCACGGTTCCAGCGTCAGCAGGCTCTCGTACGGCGGCGTCGTGGTCCGGGCCGCGCCGTGGAAGTCGATCATGTTCTGGAACATGAGCATTCTGGCGTTGGCGTTGCTCGACCTGATCGACATGGACTTGTCGGATCTCCAGAACGTTATCAGCAGTTGCGATAGGCACAGCAGTATGGCCGCCCAGAATATCAGGCGGTACAGCATTTGCCTCAGCACTCCGATGCCGATGAAAGCTGCCATATCTGAAATCCACCGATTATCATAGATCAATAAACATAATTACTACATCACAGATTTGAAAATAATTGTAAGACACTATCTATCGACAAACTTGGACGAGTCGAGAGGAACATAATATGGAAAAATACAAGATTCAATCAACGTGAATGGAATATAAGAACTAACGATGAAATTTCAATTATAAGTTAATAGGAAGGTGTTCTTGTAGATGTTCTTAAGCCCCAGGAGTGCGATGTTAAAAGGAAAAAATAGCTAAAGGAGCAAAAACTATTGCTGACTCATACTCATTGCTGATTAACGTCAGCACTATGGGTCAGCTTATCGCTGATGTCCTTGCTTGTATTCATAGTAATGGATGCGGTTTTTTGCATTTGTATCTAATACTCACCGGTTACATCTAGTATTTTAAATACAGCGAGGCATATAGTTTTAATATTGTTAAGCTATATTTAATTTTCAAGCTCGTCTGGTGAGAACGGCTTTGAGACATTTTTTTTATCTAAAAATAACCCATTGTTGACACTAATTCCTTTCCCAGAAGATAACTTGATAACGCTTTATCGTTAAATCTAAATGTATTTACGTTTGTTGTGTTAGCATCATGACGCTATCTTCAAGCAATCCGTTTCTCAGAATATCTACACGACCCCGTTTAGGTTAGCCGGAGGGTTGGTTAATGATGGTGTATCAATGTCATTGTGCGAGTATTAAGACAATAGTATAAAAGTTAATACCGACGTGTGTCGATTAACATACCTATTGTTGATTATTCGCTACCGTTCGTGCAAACGTCCTACTCGACGACCGGCGAATCCGTCTGAATAGCCAGGTTTATCATTTGCACCGGTCATGGCTCCAGACTGGTGTATTGTATCCGCCAAATAAACGTTCTGAAAATAAAAATTCTTATTAATAATTGCAATCAAAATTTAGTTTGCTGCAAATCTGTAAACGGTAGAAATACATATTTAGTTTAGTATCGATAAAATGCATTGTAAAGACAAAAATGTATTAGTGTAGCTTGCTTCACTCTAGATCAGTTTAATCTTCAAAACTACAAGGCACTTAAACTGCGATTTTTAAGCGAAATAAAGAAATAGATTCTATTCGAGTTGGAACAAAGAGTTTTCAGATTTTTTCGGTTTTAGCGAGCCTTAAATGGAAAAATATGTACAATTTTTGAGTAGTTTTCTCGGTTTTGATGGAATTTTTTACACTTTCCTCCACAATACTTTTCAGGTAGGATTTATGATCTACAGACTTGCTACATGCGGAAATCGACGGTGGTGTGAGGATCGCGTGTGCAGACTAAACGAACCAAACAAAACCACATCATCGAGTTATGGTGTGAATTCTATATATAGTATAAATTATAATGGCTGTGCAACTCGAATTGCAATCCGGTAAAAAACGCGACGGTGTCTACCACCAAGTGTTAACAGCTGCAATGACTAAAACAGCTATTATTATTATTATAATTATTAGTATGCCAACCTAATAATAAAACATCACGATTATTACCGTGGACCGCCAGACGAGAGTCGAAGGTCTCGCAGGCGATCCGCAAGTCATGTCGGTGTCGCCTACCATTGAGCTGATACAATACACGTTTCTGATAATTATTCTAATCGTACCTATCTGATAGCTGAAATGAATAACGGAATACCAAATGAACATGCTTAGCTGGTAACAAACGAGCAGTGCACACGATTGTGACGTACTCGGTTTGAACTGTGCTTGTGTCGGAATTTCAATAAGAAACTTACTTAAAGGAACATCCTTTTGAACGAGGCAATGGTTGGGGTTGGCACTGGCTGGTGGCAATCCTGTAACAATAATTGAAAACATCTGTTAATAATAAGCTGTGTTCGAATAAGAATAAAAATAAATCAGTAATGCATGTAAATGTATAAGAGTACATTGACTAGACTAAATTGTACAACAAAACTACTTAAGATATTAAACACAAAATACGGATAAAAAGCAATGAGACGTATAATATATGATAAAACCCCTTTTAGGCCGTGTATCAGAATAATGTAAAATATAGGGAAAATGTTGTTTGGATGTGTCTTTTGAATAGCACCAAGTATCATCATCACAATATAAACGCATGCATACCATTAGGTAATGCCGTGAAACGCGATCAGGGTAATGTTATTTTGTAATGCTTCTTGATTCTATTGTTTTCGTCTATTGAAACCTGAATTCGGTCGTTTGAAATTGGAAATTATAGACATTTCTTCTAATTAGACTGTACGGCAAACACCGGTTTCTTTGACATCCAAAGTGTGGCAATAATAATAATTACTAGTTCCAGCAGAAATATGCGAGTAAAAGTGTTTGAGAAACGCTTTTGGACAGTTTGAAAATATTTCTTAAAATCATATTTTTATCATATGGTTTATATACATTTTTTTTAATTTTTGTTGTAATAATCAAAAAATTGTATTATTAAACCGATGATGATAATGTCCTTCCCACAGCGAACAATGATTTTTTATCTATTTCATTGAAGTAAATCAAACTTAGTATTACTTAGACCTTGAACATAAAATATGAATGCAACTATGTTTTTTATATGTTATTAATTATCAACAACAATATTGTGCTGTTTGAGTTTTCATTGAAATAAAAATAAAATTATTTATAATGCTCAGGTCTGAATGTATTTAAACAAAAATCCGATTTAAACTAATGTTCAAAACTGTTTCGTGCAGTTTTTAAGTAAATTAATATTTCTTTTTTGTTAAACTCTTATTGTTTAATTCTATGGAAAATATCACATTTTTTTTTTAATAAGGAACCAGTTTTTAATGCATTCTATCCTTGAGTATACATGTGTAAAAAATGTATTCAAGTGATTCAGTTTTACAGTTTGGGAATTTACAATGATTCATAATGACCTACTCAATGTAATGCCAATAATTTTTTTATTTATTTTAATTCCTATTTCTCTGGTTACAACACTACTCGAGTGGTAAATAAATTAAGCAGTTATGTGTATAAAGTAGGTAAATATCATTATGTATATATTGAAGCGTCATAGAATAAATAAAATTGGTCCTAATTAAAAAACTTAACGATATTTCGTTAGTAAATAAAAAGATTCTAAAAGCTCGCACTTGTACTTGTAAAACAGTTACTATGATTGTGTTGTCTCATATATGTAAAAATGTATTTTATACATAACAATTTATTTTAAATAACAACTTATGTGTATTTTGAAACCATTGTTTCTGATCAAATTACATTTTTTTTACCAAAAATAAACAAGATCGAATGCGTTTTGAAGGTGAACAGTGTCAGCTTTCAAAAAGGTTTTCTTACATTTAGAAAATATTTAAAATTAAGACGGTTTTAATGAAAAATGTATTTTTCACGTGTAAATTCAATAGGAAAAATATGGCTGAATATTGTATGAACCACTTTGAGTTATTCGAGAAGGTTTTTTCGAGTCAGTCAAATATACATATATATATATTAGTATTTTTTTGTGTAATTTTTTCTTTGAATATTATACCATGTTGTTGGATCGAATTTGTATGGTTGTCACGTACAGACCGTTTTCGTTTGTATTTAAACGTTTTATAAATTAAACATCAAAGGCCGTTTGAACGTTTACAGTTTGTTAAAAAAAAAAAACCACTATCATAAGTTCACAAATTTAAACAGGTCACAAAAAAAAAAAAATTAAAAAGTAACCAAAATTAATTTAATGGGATAAAATAAATATTATTCCAAAAAAAAAAGTGTACAGCTACACAACTGATGAAACAAATATTTATGATTTTTTTTTTGTTGTTTAGTGCAGCTGTTTAATTATTATTCAAGCCCTTGCCATATAGTATTGACCACCATTGACTTTTTATAATTATACTCCTTTAACTTACTGGATAAAGGTGATGTAGACATAATTTCATACTTGTACAAGTTGACATAACGATTGTAAACACTACAATATATCAAATATTTAAACAATGTGTATCTACATTAATGTTACTGTTGCCCCAATGGCCTAAGATGCTTTCATTTCCGGATTGTGTACAACTAGTTCCGCTTTGTGCGATTTTAATACAATATTATATTTATATAATTTTTTTTTAATAGCCTAAATAAGATTTGTATCAACGCAACAATAATAATGATAATGTTTACACGCGTTACATACAACCGGCGATGACCTCCTTGATATTGTACATTATTATTCACAAAATGTAAATATTCTTATGGTATTAATTTAATTTTCTTCTTTTGTATAAATATTTTTTTTCATCACTAATTTATAGAACGCACTCGAACAAAAATACACAAATTCAATGTGAAACATTACCAACCGTGTTTATTCGACCGTACCTGCATAAGAAACGTACCTGGCAGAAGCTATAATATACTATTTTTTATTATTATTATTATTAGTAGTGGCCTACACTAGGTCTTAAGAAATTCGCAATAATAATTACATTGAAAATATATGTATATATATATATAAATAAAAATAGTAAGCCGGAAAAAATTATGTAGAAAATTATGTACACATATTTTAATGTACGGTTTTTTCCCCCTCTTTTTCGATTCCTTGACACGATTTACAAATAATCCTATCCCATGATAACTACTGTACAAACAGTATACATACATACATCACGGTTACAAAATATACACAATGATTTCGAAAAGAATAATTCAATAATAAAATAGCCGAAAATAAAATATGATTAAAACAACATCAGAGCGGTACGGTTTGTATTCTTCCAATGTGCTTCGTAAAAATAATACAAAAAAAAATTAATATTAATTTGTTGCAAGTTGTAATTAAAAAAAAATATATTAAAAAACCCAAAAACAACAACAATAGAAATTTCGATCATATTTTATAGTTTTCCTCGCTTATGTTTATTATTTAAAAAAAAAAACCCAGTTCTTTATTAATTTGCACGGTCTAAACAATATATATATATATATATTTTTTTTTTTAATTTAATTGTTCGTTAAACGAATTTTCGTTCATTACGAAGACCGACCGGCGCAATGAATAAAGACAATATAATAATAATTATATATGTTGGGTATTATTATTTTTTTTTTCCCCGTTTTAATGATAGTTGTGTGATCTTTTTTTTTTTTTTAATTTATATATTCCAAAAGGATGTACTTTTACTCGGCCTTGGCGGCTGCCACCGTGTAGAGGCTATTAACAGCTATTATTATCGTTCCGATCCGTCGGGCCAGTGATAGGTACACTACCTATAAATTATATAAATATAAATTGTCTAATTATTTTCTACGTTTAATTGTTTATTAATCCCTTTCCCGTGTTCTACATCAATTAGTAACAATAAGCATGTCTTAATAGACACACACCACCAAATACAAAATTCCTGTCTGTTTGTCATGCACTTAAGTACCTACCAATGTTATCCATTTGTCCACGGCATTAATTATAGGCGATACTTGACAGTGAGTGCTGGAGAGAAAGTATTTGAAAATAAAAAATCAGCAAAACCGTTAAGAGAAGATTTAAAGATATGAAATCTTTGTAATTTTTTTCGACATACAATAGGGATTGAATTTAGTTTTGATCACACGTGTCGTTTGGTGGTTAGTTTTTTTGTATATTCAACACCTGGTTAGGGCCAACTTGGGTAATAGTTGTAAACGAAAGTGGCGAAACTAAAAAGTGTATGATATTTTTAGTGGTAAAGTATTTGAACATTTTAACTCAATACTGTTAGGGCACACAAGAAGAACGATATAATTTTTTTTATATGCATGTTTTGTTTTTATACATTTTATTGTTGGTTTTTTTCTATAAAAAAATGTTTTGTTTTTAAATAGCATTTATATTTGCCCTATTCGTATGGAAATCCTTCACCTTAGCCTTATTGTCGGTATGATATTTCATTTTTACAATTGAGTCAATTGATAACCGTAAAAAAAACCGGTAAAACCGTGTGTAAAACGAGTTTAGGTTAGGTTGGTATTACTGAAATTATTGACAAAAAATTGAGAAAAAAAACATGATTTTAGAAAAAATAATGTACTACTGCAATTGAACAATTGGAAATTGTTAATTTTATTACATTTTTAAGTTGATGTATTTTTTTTTTTTGACGAGTACTTTTGAAAATTATTTTAGAAAATGTCATATTTTTTTTTTACAAAAACCAAAAAAAAACTTCTAGATAGACCGGTTTTCAGTACACGTATTTAAAATTCATAAAAAAAAAATTATCAAAACGTACAGAACTCTATAAAAAATTGCATAGAGAAAAAAATACAAACTTATTAGTTATTTAAGCCACTTAAAAATGTTATAAATATTTAAAAAAAAATTACAATATAAAGCTGTTAACCCAAGTAAAAATGTTTTCAAGTACATTTTAGAAAAAAAAAACGCTTAATTTTGATTATAAATTGATTTTGGTAGATATTGTGTTTTACTTTTACATTTTAATCAAAAATAATTTACTCAAGTACACAGCATTGTGTCGCAATGATATTTAATACTTATAAGGGTTTTTGAGTGAATTAAATAGGGTTTTTTTTTTTAATGAAAATCTGGATTATTGAATTCACATCACTAGTAAGTATTCATTTTAATATGTTTTATTTTTGCTTGTATTTTTTTTATGTGTACTTAAGACGCCAAATATTAAGTTCATACTGGAAAATACTCAGAAAGAGTTTTTTTTCAGCGCTGATACTTAGATTTGTTAAATTGAGCATCGAAACAAGTTAACATATTATACATGTTGTGCTGTTCCTATTATCGCATCACGTACAAAAAGATTATAAACAGAATAAACTATAAAATCTCAAACTG